CCAGTTTGTTTTACAATCATAATTTCACCACGGTCTGTAATTCAAGTGTTCTCTCTGCTCTATAATGGAGTTTGAACAGCTCCCTTCACATCAGGCTGGTTCTCTATTAATGTGTTTTCCAAGAGATAATTTGCGATGACACACACTGAAATGATGCAGTCACAGAAAAAACAAAGTTACTTTCCAGTAACTGCGTGGAAGTACTGCCTCTGTAGGAGTCAAATGTCCTGCCAGGAGAGGCATAGAACCATTTAAGTAGTAAAGCAGCTGGGGGACATGAAAATGTTACTCCAGTCCTGCATTCTGGACACAAGGAGGCTACTATATAACTATCCGTCAGCTTCTCCAAGACAGTTCATTAAAATCTTTTACTAAGGAGAGGAATGCAGTATAAGTAAGGATCTAAAGAAGGGATATATTCAGAGAGCAGTTACTGGTAAGTAACCTTTTCTTCATGAAATTGCCTCTTCAGAACCCCAGAGTAGGCCACTAGCTAGCAGTGACAGTCCTCTGGAGGTATATTGATTACTACTAATGAATGCTCTACTGAGCAGAGCTTCCAATCTGGACTCCCCATTGGAACATTGATAGTCTATGGAAGTGAAACTTCAAATCCAAAAGCAGGTTTACAGACCACAACTACAGAGACATTAATAATACAAGTTGCAGAAGCTGCCCACCCTGTAGTGGAATGGGCCCCAAGTCCTCTGCTATTGGAAGGCCAGGCAAGTCACAGTAAGTCTGAACATGTAACCTAGTCCATTTAGACAACCTCTGGCCTGAAACGGCTTGACCTTCCCAAAATTCACATACAAACTTGTGGATTTTCTAGATTTATTTCTGTCAAGGCAATAATTAAAGACCTCTTATGCCCAAAATAGGGAAAAAATTGATTTGGTAAATCTGGCTTGCAGGAGGAGAAAAATTTCACTGGCAAAGAATCTGATTAGTTAGATAAAAATCTGAAGTTACCATAATCCAGAAAAATCTTTCAACGCTACCATGTCTTTCTGAAAAAGAGCACAACACAGTTTGCAGTTCTGGGCCCCTTCTGGATGACGTTATAGCTACTAGAAAGGCAACCTTCAGCAACAGTTGCAAAAGACTAAACTAAGAGCAAATCCTCAATGAGGATTTTTTTTTATTATTGTGTACAAGAGGGAGCAGTTTTCCATGCATTTCCCTTCACCAAATGACCTGCAGAAGAACTGGTTGGCTGGAACATTTTTACATGGTTAAAGGTAAACAAAATGAACATTTTCTTAAGTATCCATATTTGTACTTAAGATGTGTCAAAACCGTCAGCATCTTAACATACTATCTCAGGAATATTTTGGCTTAAAAAAAAAAATCTATCTCAGCATTTCTCAAATGGGGGTCCCGACCCACAAGGGGGTCACAAGGCTATTGTAGGGGGGTATTGCCACCCTTACATCTGCACTGCCTTCAGAGCTGGGTGGCTAGAGAGCAACAGCTGCTGGCTGGGTGCCCAGCTATAAAGGCAGTGCAATCACCACCAGCAGCACAAAAGTAAGGGTGGCATGGTATGGGGAAGGTCATTACGTTGGGGGGGGGGGGGAAGGAGGTTGCCACAACCTGAAATATTTTCAAGGTGGCAGGGCATCAGCAAAAAAGTTTGAAAACCTGTGATCTATATGTAAAAATATTTTGCATGTGTATTACTCACAGAGCCAAGAGTATGAACATAAAAAATGTAAGTTTACACAGCCATTAGACACTTGCAGCTGGCCCGTGCCAGCTGACTCGAGCTCGTGGGGCTTAAGCTAAGGGGTTGTTTAACTGCAGTGTAGACATTTGAGCTCAGCCTGGAGCCTGGGCTCCAGGACCCTGTGAGGTGGGAGGGTCCCAGAGCTCAAACAGCTACACCGCTATTAAACAGCGCTGCAAGCCCAAGTCAGCTGACATGGCCCAGCCACAGATTTTTAATTGCAGTGTAGACATACCTAAGAGAAACTGAACTATAATGTTTCCCACATAGGCTTGCCAACTTTCTAATCACACAAAACCAAACACCCTTTCACCAGGCTGGAGCAGGGGGTTCAAGTGTGGGAAGGGGTGCGGGCTCCAGGGTGGGGCCAGAAATGAGGGGTTCACGGTGCAGGAGGGGGCTCCAGGCTGGGGGTTGGGTGCGGGGGGGGAGGTGAGGGCTCCGGCTGGGGGTGCGGGCTCTGGGGTGGAGATGAGAGGTTTGGGGTTCAGAGGGGGTTCTGGGCTTGGGGGCTAGGTCAAGGGGTTCAGAGTGTGGGAGGGGGCTCCAGGCTGAGGCTGCGGGCTCTGGGGTGGGGCCAGAAATGAGGGGTTCAGGGTGCAGGAGGGGGCTCTAGGCTGGGGCCAAGGGGTTCAGAGTGCGGGAGGGGGCTCAGAGCCACGGCGCAAGAGGGGATGCTGGCTCCAGGAGGGAGTTTGGGTGCAGGAGGGGGCTCAGGGCTAGGGCAAGGAGTTGTGGTGCAGGACGGGGTGCGGGTGCCAGAAGGGAGTTTGGGCGTGGGAGAGGGCTTAGGGCTAGGGTGTGGGAGGGGGTTAGGAGTGCAGACTCCGGGCCACGCTTACCTCAGGCAGCTCCCAGGAAGCGGTTGGCATGTCTCTCTGGATCCTAGGCAGAGGCGCAGCCAGGTGTCTCTGCGCACTGTCCCAGCCCACAGGCGCCGCCCCTGTAGCTCCCATTGGCCATGGTTCCCAGCCAATGGGAGCTGCGGAGCCCCCGTGGCCACCCCTATGCCTAGGAGCCGGAGGGACGTGCCGGCTGCTTCCCAGGTAGGGAGCCTGCCAGTCCCGTGCCAACCAGACTTTTAATGGCATTGGACTGCCTTCCAACAAAAAGATACACGATTTATGAATGTCTCCATGTGTCTCAGCCCTTCCACCTCTTAGTATTTCCTCTAATCTGTTCCGAACAAAAAGTGTAACAGTTTCAGGAAGCCTCTGACAATGCTTCTTTGCTTTGCAGACCGACACTCTAAATCATACCATTAATTCATTAAACAGTGACAGCCCAAAACACTAGTGTAATGCTGGCAGAATTCTATTTAATGAGCACAATATTTCAGAAACAGTTGTATCTTTATCAGGGCAACAAACAGATCTGTCAGCTTTCCAACCAGAAGAGCAATTAGCAAAGTAAACACTGAGGGCTGGTATCCACTCAGGGGCGGCTTTATGCATTTTGCCGCCCCAAGCACGGCAGTCAGGCGGTTTTCGGCAGCCCACCTGTAGGAGGTCCGCTGGTAACGCGGATTGGGCGGTATGCCTGCGGGAGGTTGCCCGGTCCCGCGGTTTCAGCGTACCCGCCGCCGAATTGCCGCCGAAGCCGCGGGACCAGTGGTCCTCCCGCAGGCATATCACCGAAGGATCCCTGACTGCCGCTCCCACTGCAACCGGCAGGTTGCCTCCTGCGGCTTGCCGCCCCAGGCACGCGCTTGGTGCGCTGGTATCTGGAGCCACCCTATCTCCACTACAAGGAGATTGACGCTGCAGTAGGGACCGATTTAGCGGGTCAAGTGAACACCCGCTAAATCTATGGCAGAGCGCTCTCTGGTCAACCCCAGTACTCCAGCTCTCAGAGAAGAGTAAGGGAAGTCGATCAGAGAGCATCTCTGGTCAACTCAGCACAGTGAAGACACCGGGATAAGTCAACCTAAGCTACGTCGACTCCAGCTACGTGGATAACATAGCTGGAGTAGCGTAACTTATGTCGACTTACCCCAGTAGCGAAGACAAGGCCTGAGTCTGCAACAACCAAGTGAAATGCATACAGCAACAGATAATCTGAGAAAAGTTAGAAACACGGTGCCACAAGTACTCCTGTTCTTTTTGCGGATACAGACTAACACGGCTGCTACTCTGGATTCCACTGAAGTTCTTTCAGAATTGACTACATTTCAATTTGGGCAAAACGTATTTTAGACACAAGCTACCAAGTGATCATACACATGAAAAGTTAATGTTGACCAAAACTGCCTTGTTAAAATTTATACTGGAAAAATGAAGTTTAAAATTAAAAGAGACTGGTGTGGGGAACACATTATTTCAAATTAAAGAAAGCAAGTACCATTCCAGAAAAATGAGGTTAGAAGATAAAGAACCTATTATTTGTATTATCCTAGTGCCTAGAAGTCCCAGTCCTGGGCCAGGACCCCATTGTGCTAGGACTGTACAAACACAGAACAAAAAGACTGTCCCTAGTTAAGGATATTTCAGAGCACATCTCCCAGCTGAACAAGTAATCAATGTACATTTTTTACATGGTAGAAACTGAAAATGCAGCATCACATAAACATGGTACCAAATCTGTTTGATTTCTGGAGATCTATAGAAACAGTCTGCCCAATCATTTCTTTATTATTCAAACTTCAACTCAGCTGTAGTTTGGAAATAGAGCTTATCACCATTACCTTTTAGATTAAAAAGAGCAACATAATTTTAATTTAAAAACCCAGAATCCTGCATAAGTGCAGGAGGCAAGAAGCCGTTCTCTCACACTTTGTTGTGTCCCTATGCTGCCAACAGGCACAATTACAATTTTGTCACTCAGGAGTTTCAGGTTAGCACCTACAGTAACGGCAGGCTTCACCTGAAGGGAAATGATCCTGAGTCTCAACCCTGTCCCCACCATAACAATTAGTGCAGCTGTTCCCAGCAGAAATAGGTGTACATAGCACCTTTTCAGAGTGTAGTAGCTGTGCTTTCTGTGTACTCCCAGAAGTACTATGCTGGGTCTGAAATGAAACTACAAAGTAAAATGGAATAGGGCAGAACAGATGGACTGAGGAGGGCTGCATGCCTACAGTTTATCTAGAGCAGTAAAATACTTCAGATCATAGGGCAATATATCACTATTTATATGAGACGTGATGGTCTTGCAATTGGCTAATACTCAAATAAAGTAATTATTTTTTGAAAAGTTAATTTGGGAATTATGAGGAACACATTCCCTTCACAGAGTACAAGTTTCAAACACAGATCCTGTAAAAAGTACTTACAGAAGGGGAATTTCAACAATGAGCTGAATGAGGCAACACAGCAACTCTTCTATAAGGTCTTCACATTCCACTCCTGAAACAGAATAAAAGGAAACGCTGTTTGTCTCTGGAAAGGTAGGAAAAGAAACCACAGATTCAACTCAGACTGAAACTTTTTAAAGTTAGGTATCAAATTACTAGCATGGAAGCAACCAGGCAAATAAAATGCCAATATCAGTGTTAAGCTCAAAAGCACGTTGGTGCTTTGTCTACATACTAACCATACTGGTGTAGTCAAAGATGTACAACTCCCAGTCTCCCCAAGTCTGGTCACAGTTATATTTGAATAAAGGTGCCTTATACCAATATGGTTTTTTCTGTAGGAAAGGTTAATAAGCTATCATGTTATAAGGCACCTTTATATTTATACTGACAATTGCATCTACACCAGGAGTTGTACTAGTACAAGTATTTCAGTAGAAAGATCACATCCCTAAGTGATATCAATGGTACAAAAACTGTAGACAAAAAAGGCCACAGTGGCAACTAGTTATTATTTATTATGTGTATTATTGTAGCTCTTACAAGTTTCATTCATGGACCAGGACGCCATTATACTAGGCCCTGAACAAACAAAGAATTAAAAGACAGTTCCCGACCCCAAAGAACACTAAAAGCCTGAGCTAATTAAAAATTATGTCCAGTAAACCTGATTCCTGAGTGCTTAAACATCCACTTCTTACTAGCTGTTCAATTTTACTCAGTTTGGGTGATTAAGATGAGTGGTCAGTTTCACTTTACTTGTGAACCCGCAATTTCTAGTCATTTCTCCCCTTTGAATCTCAATGGCCCTTCAGGGAATGTTGCAAGACCCACCACCTCCTATGGGCTTTTGGTGTTGAGGATTCTGATGAAGGTTGGTGTTTGTGGATATTAATTCAGGTTTGATTTAATCTCTGGTTAATATATTTTCTAGTTTAAAGGTAAGGAGGATCTGCTTGGTGAACCTTTTTAGGCAACTTTATTTTAATTTTATGGTAAAGGCGCATTGGCCTTAGGATATCTGTTTTCTGGGAATTATAAATCAAGGCTATTTTGCTTTCATGTTTTTATGCACTAGCACAATACAGCGTTAGGACTGCACACAACACAGGGAATCCTGGTTTATAAGCCTTTTGACTTAAGTTTTGTAAATGCTTATTTATCAATATTGGGGGAAATCTGTGGCAAATCTGACCTCACAGCAACCCCATAAGGCAAGCCAGTACTGCCATGCTAAATTTGTACAGTCATTTACCATAACAAACCAAACATTTGGATCTTGGCAGCAAACCAACAAATACTGTGTCTCTTTGATGGGGCGTTCACCCTACACTAACCCTGGAGAGGTTAATATAGGCAAGAGAGGCCAATTAGCCAGAGGCTGCATCTGGAGGGGAGCTATGATGCAAATGATGCAAGTGAGGCTTAATTAGGAATGAAGCTCACCTGGGCAGAAACAGTCACACCCCCTGATACAAGGGGAGAGAGTAGGAGCCTGTAATAGGCAGTGTAGGAAGCAGTCCAGGGAAGGAGCAGTAAGGGCGGGGAGAACAGAAACCCAAGTTTCTGGGTGGAGGGTTCCTGTATTGGAACTGGTGTAGAGGGTGGGCCTGGGTTCCTCTACAATCTACTGAGGAGTGGCATGCTGGGGCAGCCTATCTGGGGACTTCCACATACAAAGTCTTGGAAGAAGACTTTGATAATACCCTGGAAGGGAGGGGAACTTCAGTGTGACTTGCCTAGAAGGCTAAGCCACAAAGAGGAAAGCGCTGCACCTTCGGGAGCATGAGACACACCATTGGAGCAAGTGAGTGGAACGACAAGCTGAATAACTGCAGGAAGGGGAGTCGGACCATGCAGCAAGCTAATCCCCATATGGGCCACTAGGAGGCACCAGAGCAGCAAGTGAGTGCCCCTGTTACAGTCTCCCACAAGCCTACTATGCAATAAGCCATGAAGAAGTATCCTTAGCTCTCCCACCAACAAAAAGCTTCCACCCCCAACGAGTGGCAGTAGCTTTGTGGGCAGAAGAGCGCTCCTACCGACAAAGCACTATTCACTCCGGCACTTTTCGTCAACAAAACTTTTGTCCTGGGGGAGAGCGTGGAGGGTGGAAAGAGATGTTAACATCTCTGAACGACAAAACCGTTCAGTTGACAAATCCTAAGTCGCTAAATTTTAGAGAGACACTGGGAAGCAGCTCCTCAGTTGGTGTAAACTCTCATAGCCCCATTAACTTCAATGGAGCTATGACGATTTATACTAGCTGAGGATCTCCAGTCTAAGGAGGCACTTTTAATCCACAGTTTCCTGCTAGATGAGACAGCTGGGGAAGAGCCAACACAATTTAGTTGGTTTAATCACTGACCACATTTCTTAAGAACTTTACTTGTTTAGTTGATTTAACAGTAGAGATGCAGAACAAGCCCACAATCCCCATAGGAACAGGTTAGTTTGCATCTTTTTAATAAATTCTAGACAGGAGCACAAAAGGGACACTTCTCTATGCATACTATACATCATTCCAAATCATGGCCTTCCCTCCAAAAGGAATTCAGTCTACATTTTACTTTAGGAGACTTAAGCAATTCAACCTAGAGTTTTATCATCACTTCATACTTTTTAAGGAAAACTGTATTTATTTAGTGCAAAGCTCAGCCCATTTCAAGAACAAGGCCTCTGCCAGAGCTCATCAAGAATTATCCTCTTCCAAAGAAATCCAACAGGATTTTATTTGCTAGAACAAGAGTTCTTCACTGTTTAACTCATAAATGCATCAGGGTCAAGACATAAAATACCCACCTCACACTTGGTGCTTCAAAAAATTTCTCTCAAAAGAATTCCAGGTATTTCTAATTAATAAGAGCACCAATGTTTTACATTCATACAGCATAATTTAAAAAAAAATTCTCTTATGGAGCAAAACTCAATTACAAACCATTGGAGATTAAAGTGTCACAGCTCTAAGCAAGTTTCAGATGTATTCCCGAGTCAGTAGGTACGTCTGTGTTTACTTTAACATTTCATATTACAGAAAGTTACTTAGGAACATAATTTACTCATTTTTCTATTTGTAATGCTTCACAGCAGGCAAATCTTGTCCTTCAGCATATCAGATAAAGGGCAGCAGAGCATTAAAATAATTACCCAAACCTTCGTGTACTTCATATGTTCAATTAAACACGTCTTACAATAAGCACAACTTAATCAAATTATAGTGGTGCTATTCTGTTTAACCTGAGTTTGCTCCTAATTTCAGGACTCATTTTTAAGGAGCATACTATAGGGACTACTAACAATAAAGCAAAATTATTTCTTTCCACAATTGGTTTATTAAAAACACATTAAAATTGTCACCTAGTGAACTGCACATTCTAAAGGAAATCAGTTTTTTACCACGGAAACATGGTTTCCTTTATATGGAATCCCCCACAAGTAACACAATGTAGCTCCTGTTAGCAACAAACCAGAATTAGTAAATGAGCATACTTAACCTTGGACTTACAAGCACAGCCAAAAATGAACCCTAGGTAATGTAATCTAAGAGAAGTTTCACTTTGGAATTACCTAACTTTATGAATCTTGGAAATGCTAACGCTGCAAAATTGCTAAACTGACCAAAACTTACAAAGTATTCTAAAAACTCTTCCTACCAATGGGAAATAAAAATAAGATCAAGGGCACATCAGAAGAATCTTTCCATCGTGTAGTAAACACATTTTGTTAGGGTAGAATTCAATGTGATTTGAACTATTATAAATCTAGAGAACATGAAGATTTCATTTTTTCTACTCCACTGAACTTAAAGGATACACATCTGCCTCTAGCATGTTCATGAATTATGCAAGACGTTACCCTTTTTAGTTAATAACGGTAACCAATGGCACTCAGCTAAAACAATTTATTTATCCTTTTCCAGACTGGGACATATGCATTCTTGTCTTGCCAAGACAATGAAACGGATGCATGCCAAATCTATAACGTGAGAGAGAGCTATAAAAATGGAACACTATGTATTTTCATAAACAATGTTTTTTCAATAGCAGGATAGACACAATACACACCCTACTCATTCATATTAACAGATTAGATGCTTGATTAAAGGAGAGATATACCCTTTTGACTCAAACAAGGGATGGGTGAATCCAGATAAGATTAGAACCAATTTGCATGGATGGAAATCAGAGGTACATCTTCTAGTCTAAGTAACAGTGCTAAAGTAATAAACAATAACACAAAGACAGAAAATTCAGAGATAAGGCTGAAACACCATTTAACCAACCGGCTATGTAAATTCTTCAAAATATGGGTTATTTTATTTATAGGATTTTGTGACAGGAATAATACTTAGCACTTAATATTTTCAAAGCCACCCATGATGCAGATGGCAAAAGCAGACACTGGAGAGGCTAACTGACTTGCCCAAAGCCAACTAGGCATTTTTCGTAGTGTGCCGTATTGTTGCTAATACTGGTGCAGTTCCACCAGTTGCAGCCATAGAAAGAGCACTAGCTCAGTGATTCTCAACCAGGGGTATGTGTATCCTTGGGGGGGGGGGGGTATGCAGAGGTCTTCCAGAGGATACATCAACTCATCTAGATAGTTGCCTAGTTTTACAATAGGCTACATAAAAAGCACTAGCAAAGTCAGTACAAACAAATTTCATTCAATGTCTTGTTTATATTGCTCTATATACACCATACACCAAAATGTAAGTAGAATATTTATATTCCAATTGATTTATTTTATAATTATATGGTAAAAATGAGAAAGGACGCAATTTTTCAGTAATTCTGTGCTGTGACACTTTTGTATTGTTAGGTCTGATTTTGCAAGCAAGTACTTTTTAAGTGAGGTGAAACTTGGGGTATGCTAGACAAATCAGACTCCTGCAAGGGGTACAGTAGTCTGGAAAGGTTGAGAGCCTACGTAGACAAAGCACTGACAGCCATCAGGATTTTAACCACTGTGTTTTCTACACTTGCTCGGGGCTGCTGCAGCAGCTGGTTGATGGTGTGCATTAGTGCTTCTACTGTTGTTACCATGAGTGGTAGCAATGGTGGAAAATTTTGGGAAGACAAATCT